GACCAATCAGAGGCGTTCAGATGAGTCACCGCTGAAACACGCTGTTTCGTCACTGCGCGCGCTGGCTGACTGAATTCTCTGGTTAATTCTCTCATCAGAAACAACAAAGTGACGATGTACAAATGTAAGTAAGATATTAATTTCACAGTGTAAACATCTTTAGAGATTATTATGGGAGTTTTTGCGAGTGCTTGAACTCGCTGGACTGAAGTGAAAATGTTCTTTGATAATTAAAAAAATAAAATAAAACCCCTGCTGAAAAAAACAATAGACACCATTAGAAAATGTGTAATGGTTTTACTGGTTATAATGGGACTTGTATTGGTTTTACTGGAAACTAGTTGATGGTTTGTAATGTTTGTAATGATATTTGTTGTGGAAACCATTACAATTTTCTGTGATGGTTTTATTGTTTGTTTGTTTATTCAGTAGGGACACAAGTCTATATCAGTTATACAGTGGTATTGTGGCTGCTGTGTGTCACATGACAAGCATGAGAGCCCCCCCTTCACTCGTGCCCCCTCTGAATGAATGATAGGCTACTTAAAGTAGGTTAAGATGAATTTTAAAATTGTGCCCCCTATAAAAGCACAAGTGGCCCCTGTCTGCCCCCCCCCCAAGTTACTGTGGTCTAGAACCGCCCCTGCTTGCCAGGCGCAGTACCCTCAAAGGGACACCTTTGTATATAAAAGGTGCATGTTAGTCCCCTAAGAGTATTACTACCTTAAGGGTATTACTACTTTAAGGTATTAATATGCACCCTTTAGGGTTAAAGAAGGTACAAAGGTGTCCTTTTGAGGTTCTTGATCCTGTGACAAGCTGTTGTATGCCTGAAGGTACAATTTTTGCACATTTTTTTCTGACTGTGTATGAACACTATTGGATTAGTTAACAAAATCAAACCAAGTTGTATTTTTATTATTATCTGTTTTAAATATTGACAGCACAAGCACACCTTTCAAACAAGAAATGTTAAATTTTTTTATTTTATTTTTATTTTATTTTATTTAAAAGACTGATCGAATAAACACACTTTTCAAACAAAGATTTTATACTGTTTAAAAATGAACACAAAAGTTATTTGGACAGTATCGTCTTATCAAAAAACAGTTAATATAATGAACCAGTTGGTGAAAAGTCATTGCTAAAACTAAAACATTGCTAAAAGTTTCAGTATCAGTTCAGTACCAGTTCTTACTTATTCCTCATTTCATCCTACCTTACTATTCTGTTGTTTTTTGTTTTGTTTTGTTTATTTTCAAAGATAACAAAAGCATACATTTATTTTTACTTTTTTATTTATTTGTTTGTTTATTGTTTTGTTTTTAAAGATCGATAGCACAAGCAGACTTTAATTTAATTTAATTTAATTTAATTTAATTTAATTTAATTTAATTTAATTTAATTTAATTTAATTTAATTTAATTTAATTTAATAACCGCCCCTGCTTGCCAGGCGCAGTACCCTCAAAGGGACACCTTTGTATATAAAAGGTGCATGTTAGTCCCCTAAGAGTATTACTACCTTAAGGGTATTACTACTTTAAGGTATTAATATGCACCCTTTAGGGTTAAAGAAGGTACAAAGGTGTCCTTTTGAGGTTCTTGATCCTGTGACAAGCTGTTGTATGCCTGAAGGTACAATTTTTGCACATTTTTTTCTGACTGTGTATGAACACTATTGGATTAGTTAACAAAATCAAACCAAGTTGTATTTTTATTATTATCTGTTTTATTTATTTACAGCACAAGCACACCTTTCAAACAAGAAATGTTAAATTTATTTATTTATTTATTTAACAGCTTGATAGCACAAGCACAATTTTCAAGCAAGGTTTCATTTTCACAAAACAATGCATTTAGTTATTTATTTATTTATCTATGATATATATATATATATATATATATAATGAACCAGTTGGTGAAAAGTCATTGCTAAAACTAAAACATTGCTAAAAGTTTCAGTATCAGTTCAGTACCAGTTCTTACTTATTCCTCATTTCATCCTACCTTACTATTCTGTTGTTTTTTGTTTTGTTTTGTTTATTTTCAAAGATAACAAAAGCATACATTTATTTTTACTTTTTTATTTATTTGTTTGTTTATTGTTTTGTTTTTAAAGATCGATAGCACAAGCAGACTTTAATTTAAGTTAATTTAATTTAATTTAATTTAATTTAATATTTTATTTTATTTTATTTTATTTTATTTTATTTTATTTAATTTTATTTTATTTTA